TTCTTTTAAAGATTTTTTTATTTATTGGGAGGGGGGGGGCTCTCTATTTCCTGACTGAGAGATCCTGACTTAAGCGGAAACCAAGAGCCAGAGGCTTAACCGACCACGCCCCCAGGCGCCCCCTAGAGTTCTGTTTTAAGCTTAAGCTGCGTTATTTGCCGAGGGCTGCTGTGACAAGTAGCACAGATGGGGCAGCTCACGCAGCAGAAACTGATTCTCTCCCAATTCTCAAGGCTGGAAGCCTGAAATCAGGGCGTGGGCAGCTCGTTTCCTTGTGAGGACTTCCAGGCCCCTCCCCTTCGCTTGCGGATGGCCAGCCTCCCTCCGTGTCTCCATCCAAATGGCCCCTTCCTGTAAGGACAGCAGTCATATGAAATTGGCTGAACTCATTTTAATGGGGTGGCATTTGCAAAGACCCTACCTCCAGATGAGGTCATGTTCTGAGGTACTGGAAGTTAGGGTTTCAACGTGAATTTGGGGGGTTGGAGGGGACACAGGTCAACCCATAACATCACGTAAAGATGAATAGCAATAGAAATCAACGTCAGTAGCGAGCTTCCTGGCGGTGTTCTATGGGGTGCTGGCCATGTGCCCACCATGTCCTTACCTTGGAGACCTCGGGAACCCCTGCTGGGGACCCCTTCCCAGGGAGGTGGCATGTGAGCTGGGGACGATGTGAGCTCTTTGAATGTTGGCGTCGGCGCAGTGGGCAGGAGGGGGGCTGAGGCCCTCCCAGGACCCCATACCTGGGAGTGGAAGGACAAGTGTCCTGACGTTATGCCTCCGTGTGGCGGCGGGTGAGGCACAGGGAGGCTCATCTCTGGGTGGTTTTGCACCTGCCCCCACCCAGGGATTATTTGGCAAAGTCTAGAAACTGTTTTCTCTGTGACAACTTAGAAAAGGGGGTGTTTACTGGCCGAGAGCCCCTTGCAGACTGGGAGCTGCATTTCTGTGACCCGCAAAGCATGGGTGAGCATGCCAGAGTCAGTGTGGGTGGGGCGGGGGGTGCCTCTGTAGCTTGGGCCTGGCCAGCCCTATGGAGGGTAACGAACGGGATTTGGCTTCAGCTGAGTCCTACTCGAATTGCTCTCGGTTTTCCTACAGTCACCTTCGAGGACCTTGTCTTGCTAACTGTCCAGGTCCCGGTAACCTCACACGCCGATAAATGGGCCAAGCCCAGCCTAAACGGCTTGGGGAGAGACCCGCTGCCTCGAGACAAGAACGTGCCTGTTCACACAACCAGAGACCAATCCAGTTAGACAAACGCGGCCCACTGGAGGCAGAATGATTGAGCAGGGAAAACTCACAAAGGACCTGCAGAAACAGCCCTGGGCCACTTAGCATGACAGCTGATTGACAAAGTGAACACAGGGCCTGCTGTGTCCTCCTGCTCTGTAAGGCGCTGGCAGAGCCCTGACCCCCCTAGAGGCATCAGAGGGCACATCACTGTTTGAGTGCCTGACGTCCCCCCCACCCTCTGCCCCCTTCCAGTTCCCAGACATCGTGGAGTTCAGCGAGACTATGGCCAACGCCGGGAAGACCGTGATCGTGGCCGCACTGGACGGGACCTTCCAGAGGAAGGTGAGGCATCTGATCCCGGCTTTGGAGGGGCCTGGGCAGGAGCAGGGGCAGATCCGCCGGCTTCGATGACGGGGGCTTGCCACTTAGAAGCACTTTGGGCCTGCCTCGTCCTAGCGTCCTGGAGGGGGCACGCAGGTGAGCACGACCCAGCTCCCGGCTTGCCCCGGGTACATCCAAGGGTGTCAAGGGACAGCCCACCTGGCCAGGTGGATGTGCTCACATGTGCTCACCTGCTGTCCTTTGCTGGGAGCGTAGGCCTTTGGGACCATCCTGAACCTGGTGCCCCTGGCGGAGAGCGTGGTGAAGCTGACGGCGGTGTGCATGGAGTGCTTCCGGGAGGCCGCGTACACCAAGCGGCTAGGCTCGGAGAAAGAGGTAGCCCGCACCTGCCTGCCCGGGGGCGCGGGGTGGGGAGAGGCCCGCAGGCGCCGTGCCCCGCCTCAGGCCGCGCCCTCTGCGTCCGCGGCCAGGTGGAGGTGATCGGAGGAGCAGACAAATACCACTCCGTGTGCCGCCTCTGCTACTTCAAGAAGGCCTCGAGCCTGCCCGCCGCGCCGGACCGCAAGGAGAACAAGGAGAACTGCCCGGTGCCGGTGCCCGCAAAGCCCGTGGAGGTGGCGGGAGCCCGGAAGCTCTTTGCTCCGCATCAGGTCCTGCAGTGCAGCCCCGGCAACTGAGGCTCGCCGGCCCGCGGCCGCCCCCTGCCGGCCGCCCGCGCCGCCCCCCGCCGGCCGCCCGCCCCGCCCCCGCGCCCCCCGCTGGCAGCCGCGCGGCCCGCCGCGAGGAGGAAGTGGGGGCGGGGCGAAGACGGGACTTTCTGCCTCCCGCCGTGCGGGCCTCGGGCAGGTGGTCTACGCGTCCCGGTTCCCCCTTCCCTGGTTCCCTCCCCTCACGAGCTAGCGTCCGGCCGCCGCAGTCAGCCCCACCCCCCACCCTCCGGGGGGAGGGGCGGAACCACACACTGTGGCGACTTGGGCGCCCATGGCTTCTTCCCCCTTGTGGCTTTCGCCCTTGAGTTTCTGTTCTCACTGGGAAGTCCGTGCGCCAGTACCTCCCGCGCAGACCCAGCCTCGGCCCACGAAGAGGTTTCTGTCTCTGCTTGGGACTGACTCCCGGCCCCCAAGGGTGGCTGGACGTGGGTCCTCCTGCTGCCTACACCCCCGTGATCATTTTCTCCGGAATTACAGCTTCTCTCACACGGGAGACCCTTAGCCTGATGGGGCTCAGGTCCCAGGGGCTTCTCTTTTAAAGCTGGGGGGATAGGTGGTAGGGGCAGAGGTGGCTTGGGTTAGGATCTATGATTCTGTTGTAGCCTGTGAATTAATACCTAATATTAAAATTTACTGGTTGGTGAAAGCACTTGTGTCTGTTTTTTATGGGTTGTTTTTTTTTTTTTTTTAGATTTTATTTTTGAGAGAGAGCACAAGTGGGAGGAGGGTGGAAGGGAGGGTGACAAGCAGATTCCCCGCTGAGCAGGAGCCCAGTCCCAGGACACTGACATGACCTGAGCAGAAGTCAGACACTTAACTAGCGGAGCCACCCAGGGGCCCCAGAAGCACATTTGTCTTTTATAGCCTGGGATGCCCTGGGTCTCACTGTAGACAGCTCTGACGTGACACGGGAGGGGATTTCCTTCCAGATCCTTTTCTAGCACTTCTAGTCTCTTCACCACACCATTTTAACTGAGAAGCAACCACGAAGCGCATTCTGGGAGAAACTCTTCTGTCTGGATGGGTTTCAGGACAAAATGGGTGGCCGGAGGGGCCTGGGGCCCAAAATGGAAAGACAAGGCTATGGTCAGGGCTGCCAGCTGGGGCTGTGGGGTCAGGTTTTATTTGTGAAACAGACATTTGATAGCTCAGGAGCCCAGAAGACTAGCTCAGCTGCACCTTGTAAAATGGGCTGTCAGCGGCTTGCATGGAAGCAAGAGTCCGCTGGGGTGGCCGAGCCCCTCTCCCAACTCCGGTGCAGATGGGATCAGGGTTCTGGGGTAGCCTCCTCGCCCTGGCTTGCCTCTCCCCTTCGTTCTACTCCAGCTTGCTAGTGACTGGCTCTGGGTCACAGGCATTCACAGAACCACATTAGTTGCTACTCAGGATTTCCAAACTAACAGGTCCACTTTTGACAGTCCCCGCTGTCACTGCTCCAAAAGGGGAATGAGGTGCTTCAGGGACCCTGACCTCTCCTGCCAGAGATGGGCTCTCTCCCTCGGGGCAGGCTGGCCCAGGATGGGCTCTGGAGGTGCTAACCCCTGGCTGCAGGAAGTGGAGGCCTGGGGCTCCTCACTCTGCTAGGAGGGGTTGGGAAGGAAAGAGTTACCAGGGAAGGGACATTCAGTGGGGCAGCTCCCAGGTGCCCCCCCCAACCCCAACTCCAGCAAGGGCACAGCAGGGCCTTGGCAAGGCAGTCCAGAGAAAGTGTCTTGTTTACAGACTGAGCACAGTTGCTATTTTAAGATGCTGCGGAGGGCAGTGTGAGGCATGAGACCCCAGACAAGGGAGAGTGTGCGCAGGCGTGCACTAGGCATACCAGTGGGGCAGAGGGCTGTGATTATTCAAAATGCAAGTTCATAAAGCACCCCCCTCCCAGGATGCACCCCAGAGTGGAATTTCTCTTGGACCCCTAGGCGGAGGCCGAACGAATGACAATGGAGATTATGAACGAGAAAAACATTTATTCTGTCTTGGAATCCATCTACTAAAACCAAGGATCTGTTGTCTTAGCCCCAGGCTCCTTAATACATTCAGAACAGCCTGGGGTTGGGGGGGTGGCATGGGTGCACCCCACACCTAACAGTGGCAGGATATTTACATAAAGCTGGGTGTTTCTGATCAGGCAAAGCCCCTCCCTGTTGCTAGGGGGTGGGAACAGGAGAAGGGGGTGCTACCCCGGGGCCCTGCAGTGAGCAGACCAGCATCCGCCCAGAGGTACAGGCACAGGGAAGGGACCCCAGATCCAGGAGCAAGCAGACACAACAGCAGTGAGCCCGGGGCTGCCAGCTCCCAGAGCAGGCAGGGCGCTGTGGGCACGACAGCGCCAGGAGGTGGGAAACAAACCTGAGTGAGCAGGAAAAGGGGTCCCGGCCCCGCACCAGCAGCAAAGCGGGGGGAAGGCTCGCAGCCTCCTCTTTGGCACAGAACCCCAAGTCACTATGGCCACCATGGCTTGGACCTGAGCCTGCCTGGGCTGGGGAGAAGCTAAGGCACTTGTCAAAACGGCGTGTCGGGCCCGTCCAGCTCTTTCAGGGGGCTGGGGATCATGAAAAGCAGTAACAAAACATATCTGGCTAAAAACCCTTTTCTAGAAAATGCCCTCGAGGAGTGGTAGGTGCAGCCCCTGGGGCAGAGGCACTTGGGGCTGGGGCTCTGCACCAGCGGCTGGGGAGGGGGAAAGCAGGGGCTCTCCGGGCTGTGTGTGCGGCAGCTCCCATGGGCACGCTGGACGGGAGAGGGGCCACAGCTCCAGGAGGCAAGGCTCATGGGAGGAGTCCAGGCCAGGGGGCAGGCCCCCCTCCCCCGAGCACCTTTCCTGCCTCCCTTAGCATCCCCGGCTGCAGCTCAGTACACGGGGGGCGGCTGGTAGCCCTCGGTGGTCTCCGCGTTCTGGGTGAAGGGTGGCTGTTGGTAGTTGTCTACAGGCGCTCCAGGGTAGGAGGCATAGGCCGTGCTGGGGTCCGGAGTGGGGTCTACGTAGTTCTGGATGAAGTCGTCCACTCCAGCCTTGTAGCGCTGGTAGGCCAGGGAAGCCAGTGCACCCTGCAGGGAGCCCCGAGTTTCGGGTTCCTCAGCCTTCCACCACCCTTCTCCTAAGGCACTGCCGCCCTCGTCCGCCCCGGCCCACCTACCCAGGAGAAGATGGAGAAGAAGCTGAAGATGATGGCCGCCCGGGCCGAGTCGGCCCCCACCAGCACATCTTCCTTCTTGGTGGCTGCCCACTGGTTGGTAAGGAAGCAGAAGCCAACGAACCACAGGAAGGTCCAGAGAGCTGGGAAGAAGGCCGGGAGAGCAGGGTCAGCAACGTGGAGGGGGCGGGGGGCTGTTCAGCGACCCAAGAGGGGCCCCCTGTGGCAGGGGGAGGGGTGCAGAGGAAGCCCTGGGCAAGGATCTCCCAGAAGCTTCCAGGCGTGTAAAGGCCGCTGATGCAGAAGCCAGGGTGGGGACCGGGGAGCCTGGCTCCAGAGCCCTGTGACCATCGCTCAACGCTGGTGGGCTTTGGCAGACCGACAGAAATCCCTGTGCAAAAGCCTGTGTCCTCGAGTGGGGCGGGGACCCCGGGCTGCTCCGGCCCCCCATGCCAGGTTGTTTGCCGAGGCCCTGCAGTCCCAGAGCTCCAGGGCTTTGGGGAACACTGGCTGCTCCTATTTACCTCCCCAAATAGAGTGGGGGTGGCGCTAGCAGGTACCTGAGAAGAGCAGGTCGCCGATGACCAGGTATTTGCGGTCAGTGGCGTTGCTGATCTGGGGGAAATAGGCATCAACCACCAAGAAGAAGGCCGAGGCCAGGAAGGCCAGCACCCCGATGGCGCTGCCGTAGCCGCACGCGTCCTGGTTGTGGTTGAAAATGCAGTACTGCTGTCTGGACTGGTGGGTGTTGCTGTATCCCTCACCAAAAATGCAGGAGAACACGATCAAGGAAAAGACCTGAGCGGACAGGTGGGGGTGAGCTGAGTGGTCGCCAGACGACCCAGAGCGGGGCACGCATGATGGGGACCCTGGGCTCTCCCACTGCTGCTTTTCCCTTCTGGGTGGGGGCCAGGCGCTGCGGCCCCTTTGGAACTTGGGTCGGGAGCCCGTAAGCAAGTCGCCTCCCGGTGCACAATCCCCACTTCTCCCTACTCCCTTCTCCCAGGGCACCAGCAAATACCAGCACAGCCGCCATCAGCAGGGGCAGGGCTGGGGATTCCTGGACTGGGTCCTGGTGGGGAAGAGATGGGGATCTCCTGAGAGGGGACTGCCCAGCCCGGGCTGCCTGCCAGGAGGGGTCACCGTGGTTCAGCAGGAGACAGGCCACAAAGTCACAGAAACCCAGGCTTGGAGCCCCGCCCCCAGATCATCTTCTGCCTGAGTCACCTGTCTAGCGTCCTGTCTAGATCATCTTCTGCCTGAACACCTGGGTGATGGAGAACCGCCCCCCCTCCAGCCCCATGGTCTCAGGAAAGGCCCGCCAGTGTGCTCTGAGCAGAAGCCCATGCCCCCAGACTCCCACTTCTTGGTGCCCCCTCCAACTCTTTCCTGCTCCAGCCTGGCCTCCCCAGTTGAGCCAACCGTCTTCCTGCAAGGACGGCTGGCCTCTGTGGTATCATGTCTCTCCCCTTTGAGGGAACTCCAACCTGCTTCCTGTCCATAAGTGAGTCTGGGCTGCACAGGGCACCCCAGGCTAGTCTGACTGGCAAGCCCTGTGGACACAGTTCTACACTTGGAACCCTGCAGGTCCTAGTTGGGGGGACAAGGGAGTGGCTCTAGGCTCTTGGGAATAGCCTCATGTCACCTCATCTCCTTCCTAAACTTCAAGGCCACCACCCCATGTCAACAGATGCAAGGATGCAGGACTGTCTGGACACCTGGCTCTCAGTGGGAGGGGCCCAGGCCTCTCCCCGGCCCTGCCCTGCCGGAACAAGGCCCTGTCAGTAGGCTCTGGGGCCACCAGTCACAAGCCCCGCCCCCAGCTGGAGATGAAGCCGGAACTCCGGGATGCTGGGAGCCTCGTGCCAGACCCCACTCCTGGCACAGCCATCCCGACACACGGGGCATCGGCCCCTTGGAGCAGACCCCACGATCGGGCAGGGAGGGGCATGGGGGCCACTAAGGCCCCTCGTTAGGCTCCAGTCTCAGGAAGGCATGAGGAGGGCACTTCGTGCCCACTCTAACACCTTGTCCAACTTTGGGCGCTGCTTGTCCAAGAGCCTGTGACCTCCCCCCACCCCTCTCCCCCACCCCACCCCACCCCGCCCCCGTCCTGGAGGGCTCCCCTACCTGACAGGGAAGGGTACATCCTGGGGTCACCTGATCTTGGGTGGGGAAGCCGACCCGCGGCCTGCTCCGGAGTGTTAGGCGGAATGCTGTTTCAGGGAGCCACACTGCCCCCGTACCCGACGTGGCTTGGGAAAGCTCCTTCCCGGGGAATTCCCCCAGCACGGAGTCCCAGCACGCCGGCCACCTGTCCTGGAGCGGCCCCAAGCTCCTCCCACCGCCAGCAGGGCGACAGGCCTGCTCCCCGCGGTGCCTCCGGGCCACCCCGCGTCCGGACCCAGCCGGTGGGGGGCAGCGGGGACCGGGGAAAGGCGGGGGAAGCTGGGGCCGGTGGGTGGGAGCCGACGGGGCCCGAGCCCTCTCGCCGGCCCCACGCGCGCCACCCGCACCCTCCCGGCCTCGGCCGCTGCCACCTGTCGCGCTCGCAGGCTCGCGGCCACCCCCTCCCCGGCCCGGGCTCCGCGGCTCAGTCCGGTCCCCCGGCCCCGCGCCCGGCTCACCAGGCACACGACGCGCGTCACCACCTGCGGCTGCGTCAGGAAGCGCCGCAAGTCGAAGGAGCCGCCGGCCTTGGCCGCGCCGTAGGCCCCGCTCTCCATGTCGCCGTCGCCCCACCGCCGTCGCCCCACCGCCGCCGCCGCGGACCGCCAAGGACCCAGCCACCTCCCCGCCCCGGCCCCGCCCTCGGGGCGTGGCCAGCGCGGCCCAGGGACCGAGGGCAAAGTGCGGCTCGCCGCCAGGGGCGAGTAGAGCGGGCGGGGCCTGCGTTCCGGAGGCGGACGGCCGTCTAGCCCACCTCGTGGCCCGGGCCCCGTCCCCCAACTCCCAGAAAGGGGCCCCAGCGTGCTGGGGAAGAGAGGGAGGCACGGAGGGACCGCCCCTCTGCCCCGCCTACACTTTGCCCCTGCCATCCCGCCTTCTTCTCGGGAAGCTCACCGGGTGCCTGTCTGGGCCTCACCTGCCCAGGACCCAGGCTCATAAGCACCCGGTCTTCTCTCCCCATTGCGTCCAAAACCCCAGGCCACAGCCTTGACGCACTCTCGGACCGGCCTGTCGCTCTTTGCTTCTCTGTGGAGCTAAGCCTGGGGTGGCGTTGAGCCGCGCCCCCCCCACCCCAAATCTTCCCCCTCTGGACCAGGTCCCAAGTATGTATGGCTTCAGACTTCCATACCCAAGTGTGCGGACAGAAACGAAGTTTCCAGGGTGACAGGCAGAGCACAGGGTTTAATCCAGTTCTCCTCCCTCACCCCCACCCCCCAATGGTTTAGAGCATCGGAACCAGGAAGGCTGAGTGGGGGTGGGTGGGGCTGCGTTCCCGAGGGGTCACAAGCCAACTGGCAGGGAGGAACTTTTTGCCAGTTGCCGGCGAGGATTAATGCAGGGGTGCTGGGGGCGGGGGGGGGGGGGGGGGGGGGGAGGGCTCCGTGCCCTCCCAGGTGAGGAGGCGGGACCAGAAGGCTAGGCCACCAGGAGATGGGCTGCCACTCCAGGGACCAGGGGAACAACTGTGGGGGAGGTGGGTTGGTGCAGCGGGGACTTTTCCCAATGTACCCCACTTTCTCTCCACACCCGCGTGGATGGTGACAAGCAGCTTAGTGGTGAGGACAGGGACTACACAGATCTCCCCCCTTCCTATGGACCCCCCCTTCCATCACTAAGTCCACTCCATCCTAAAATCCTCAGCCTAACACCGTGTGGGTGTCATCAGAACCAGGGCGGGCGGGCTTTTTCTTCATTCAAGTGGTGGGTCCTTCCATTGTGAACGAAGACCAGGGCCCTTCCGAGGGAACTCTGTCAAGCTTGCCTCTTCTGGTCACAACCTTGATGACAGAGGAGTTAAGATTTCAGGTTAGGCAAACACACCTCTCAGCCACCCCCTCGCAAGGCCTCTGGGAGTTTTATGGTGTCAAGTTCATCAGCGCCCTGGGCAGCAGAAGGGGTGTAAGGGTTAGTCACCCCACTAAATGAAGGGGCAGGGAACTGAATCACCAAGAGGACAAGCACTGGTCCCTGGTCACATGGCCAGTGAGAGCCCGGTCTCTAGATCCCATTTTATAGAAGGGAACACAGAGGCTCAGAGAGGTGGCACAGCTCTCCCAGCCTCTGGAAGGGACAGAGTCGGGAAGGAGGGACCCAGAGGTGAGCAAGGGGAGTACCAAGGACAGACAATGGCCACTGAGAAGCCTGGCCAGGGAGGGAGGAAGGCAACCAGGAGATGGCAGTGTCTTAGAGGCCCAGGAGGTGAGAAGTTCACGGGGCACAGGTGACAGCTGGAGGGGGGACGGATGACACAAAGACCCTGGTCACTTTACAGGTCAGTGAAGTGAGAGCCTTGGAGAGGGGACCCCAGGAGGTCTGGACCTGCCTCTTGTCACCAGCCAGGAAGCCTATGTCACCCGTCTATGTAGCTGCCATGGAAAGCAGCAGCCCGTGATCCGCCCTGGTCCCCGGAGGGCATCATCGACACACTCCTGTCATCCCTCCTCGGACCCTTCACGAAGACAGGCGAACGCCCCACCCAGAGGCCAGGTGGCTCCATCCCAGGGCTGCTGGGGGTGTTGGTCAGGGTCACATAAAACCAGGGATGTGCAAACCTCAGCAGGCACTTGGCACCATGAACTTTTCCAGGACATGCAGGAGCCACATGGCCCTTTGTCTGCTCTGGCGGCAGCCCTGCCTTACAAACCCACCCACCCACTGCCTCCAACAGGACTCCTGGTGGTGGCCCAGACAGGCCACCAGCTGTCCTCACAGTCCCTCACATCCTGCATCCAGTTCCTACCTGGTCCACCAGGCCCGGGCCAGCAACCAACAGGTGACAGCTGCAATGGAGATGAGGCTGCTCGCTAGCACCACGACGGCTCCCTGGGGCAGCTGTCCTGTGAGGGAGGGAGATGGCGGAGCTAGCATCCCTTCCCAGCGCCCTTCCCTGCTCTTGGCCGTGGCAAGGCGGAGCTCTTCCAACCCTGTGGCCCTACCTGGAAGTGCCAGCGGCCCGTCTGGGAACCAAGGGGCTCTCTCACCTGGGGGCACCAGCTTGAAGGGGCTGAACTGGACACTGATGTCATTTTCAGCCTGGCACTGGAGCCTGGTGGACTTGTTGGTAAGGGCGAAGGTGAACTTGGCCGGCTGACCGTAGTTCGGCCTCTGCTGCGTGTGGACGGTCCCATCCTTCCCGACCAGGCTGTAGGTGATGGGTGGGCTGCCCGAGGACACCTGGCAGGAAATCTCTACCCTGGGGCCCGACCCTCTGTCCAGCAAGGTGAAGTTAGCGGGCAGCTGGGACACGGGCTCTGGAAGGCGGAAGACGTTAGCATAGGCGTGGCTGGGTGACTTTCACACCCTCTCCCCAGCAAATTCCCTTGTTACGGAATGCCTACTGAGCTTGGAGGCCTAACTGTTATTGCTCCCTCCTCCAGGCAGCCTTCCGGATTACTCCCTCTGTCTCATGTCTGAGCTTCTACCCTTTTTGCAGTGTGTACTACACAATTTCGCATTTGGTATATTCTGGGCTGTTGGGCTTACCAACTAAAAATACATACAGGATGCCTAGTTAAATTTGAATTTCAGGTGAATAATGAAAAAAATTTTAGTATGACTAACTCTGTCCTGTGCAAAATTTATCTGGCAGCCCTATTTATATTCTTTCAGTCTTGGCTCTTTTACTAGAATAGTTCCTTCCAAGCAAGAACTGTCACTTCTAAGAGTCTAGATTCTAGAAACCCCCAGGGCCTTCAGCCTAATGCTATAAACAGACTTACAGATGAGTAACAACCACCACCCCTTGTGGCATACTGACCACCTACTAGAAGCTTCTGCTGAATCCTTCCCGCCCTCCTGGGCTAGGAACTATTACTATTTTTGTTTTGGAGATGAAGCAACCAGGCCTGACAGAAGTTGACTGACTTGCCCAAGACCCACCGCCTGCTAAGTGTGGAGACTTGAACCTTGATCACAAGCCTCCAGGCCCTGGGCCCTCCTACACCAGGCTGGCTCCTCTCAGGGGTGGGGTCAGGGGGCTCCCGGGGGCCACCACTGGCCTGGGCAACACCCTCCAGTCCCCTCCTCCCCTACAGCCTGTGCCTCCCACCAGGAGGGACACCTGAATTAAGATCAGGGGAAGAAGTGGGACGAATACAGATTTTAGAGCTGAACAGAGTGCGGTTTGAAACCAGCCTTTGCCACTGGCCTGGGGTGATATTCTTAATCACCAAGGGCTTTACATAGGCCAGGAACCACGAACCCCACTCACCAGTTGCTGTGAGGACTGAACTAGATAAAACACGAAGGTGCCTACTTTATCAGCATGAGGCCAGAGCTCAACCGATGGGGCCCCGGCCCTGGTCACTTCGGCCCTCCCCAAGGGCCCCTGCTGGGAGGTGGTGCCCTGGGGCCCAGCCAGGAGCTACACTGTTCTAGACGCAGGTCTAAGGGACGCAAAGTGGCCTTGGAGGTGAGCAACCTGTCCTGTCCCCACCTCCTGCCTTCTAGCCCAGACCCTGCCCCACCCCCAGCCCCCCGGGTGCACTCACTGGTCCACAGCTCCCAGTACATCTGCAGCTTGGTGCTGGCCGAGTGCGTGCCCTCGGGGGAGGCCGCCTGGCAGGAGTACGTGAGCAGGTCTGGCCTGGACTTGAGCGTGATGTTGATGCTGAAGGAGGCCGGGTCTGCGGTCTTCACCACCTTCCTGGCAACCTCAGTGCCCTGGCCCCCCCAGAGGGAGTAGGTGACAGGCGGGGGTGCCTGGGGTGAGTGGCACATTATGACCACCCTGCGGCCTCTGGGGAAAACCTCCAGGACTTTGTAGGCAATGAAGGTCTCATGGGTGACTTCTGGCAGGCGAAAGGGTCCCAGGGGGAAGAAGGAAACCAATATTGATCAAATACCTTAAGAAAATGCTGGTTTTGCGGTTCCTCAAAAAGTTAAAAAATTATCATGTGACCTAGCAAATCCCACTCCTAGATATCTATCCAAAGGATTGAAAACAGGGACTTGAATGGCTATGTGTACACACGGGCTCACGGCAGCACTATTTACGACAGCCAGAAGGCAGAAGAAGCCAGCGTCCATCCACGGATGAATGGTAAGGGGAACGGGGTCTGGCCATACCATAGCCTAGTCCTCACCCGTGAAAAGGAGCGAGGTTCTCACCCATGCTGCGGCACGGACGAGCCTTAGAAACATCACATCGAGTGAGAGAAGTCAGACCCAGGAGGCAACCTATCTTCGATTCCGTTCATGGGAAATGTCCAGAATAGGAAAATCCCGAGACAGAAGCAGATTGCCCTGTTGGCAGGGGTTGGGGGAGGGGCAGATGGGGAGTAACTGCTCATGGGTCGGGGCTTTCCTTTCGGGGAGATGGAAATGTTTTGGAACTAGATGGGATGACGGTTGCACAACATGGTGAGTGCACTAAACATTAATGAATCGTCACTTTAAAATGGTCAATTTTGTGTTATGTGAATTTCACCTCAATTTTAAAAAGGAAGGAAAGAAGGAATGAAGGAGGGAAGGAGGGAGGGAAGAAAGGACAGAGAGAAGGAGCGAAGGAAAGAAAGCCCTCCTGGATAAAAGTCTACCTCTGGGGTTTAGACTTTTTGCCCTACAAAAATGAATTTCCTATAAAAATGAAATTAGGACACAAGTAGGAAGCACGGAGAAGTTTGGGACACGGGTCTGGATAGCCGACACTGAATTCAACTTCTAGATGCTACAGATTGGTCTACTGTAAGTGGCAGGGGACGGGCACTGGAGTCCATCCTGTCCAGGCAGAGACCAGGAATCTATTGCTTGTGGACTGAACGGCCCCCTCCCAGGAGAAGGCAGTTACTCTCGAGTTGGGTTGTGCTGAATGCCTGTCTGCCCTCTGGTGTCAGAGGCCTCCTGCTCCTGCCAGACCCAGCAGGGAACCTGGGATACAGGGGAGCTGGCTGGGCCCCTGTGCCCAGAGGTGTCAAAATGTGGTTTAAAGGGACAGTCAGAAGGAGAGGATAGAGGATAGACTCAGATCCACAGGGGCAAGCTGAGCCAGAGAGAAAGGCCACTTGGGAAAGCAGGATTTCCAGAGAGCAGGGAGGCCCCTGAAGGAGACTGGATGCTGGCAGCACTGGGTGGGGGGTCGGGGGGGGCGGCGGTGCAGGACCAGGTGCTGGAGCTCCTGGGGACACGGGGACACGGGGGCCAGACCTGCTCTCCAGCGGCAACCTGCGTTCCCCCATCAAGACCTCCTCTCTGCTTGGGAGTAACTGCCCTGTTTTGCAGGCAGATGCTGGAGTTGATCTGATGCAGAAAACATTTCTAAGCGCTTCCCACTGGCCCTCTTGCTGCCCATACTGAATTCTTCTAGACAGAGGTCGGGAGGGAACAAAGCTGCCTGTCAGTGTGGGCGCAGGAGGGAGGCCGCGTTGCCTGCAGCATTCTGCGCCTGTTGGAGGAGACTGTGTAGGGCAGCCTCGGGGGCAGGTGTGTGTGTGGGGCTGTGTGTGTGTAGAGGAAAGGGTTGACGAAACCGAAACATCACGAGCCTCGTGCATCACCCTTGCCCCGCTGGGCGGGCACCCCAGCTCTGGGAACCACACTGCCTTCAGAAAACTACTCACCGAGCAGAGAACCGGAACCCGCTAGAATGTGCTTGCTTCAGAGACCTTTCCTGGAATCCTAAAGTTTCTGACCACGAAGTGTTATTTCTTTCTAGACCAGTGGTTCTCGGCTTGGGTCGGTTTTGGTTTGCCTTCTAGGGGACCTTTGTGCCTGGAGACATTTTTGGTTGCCATGAATGGTGGGGGGCGGGGGCGCTCCTGGCATCTAGTAGGGGGAGGCCAGGAAGGTCACTAAAACCTCCAACAAGGCCCACGACAGTCCCCGTAACGGAACCCTCCAGTTCCAATGTCAGGAGAGTCGAGGTTGAGAAACCGCGGTCTTGACAACCCTCAGGAACCTTCCAGAACAGATTTCCAGGCCTGCCCACGCTGCACAGACACCAAGAGCTGTGGGCACAACCCAGGGCCAAAGGGCCAGCTCCTGACTGCCCAGATGCTCTTGGGGCCCGAACTCCCCCCGACTGGGGGAAACGGGGGCTCAGAGGGTTCAGTGCGATGACGCTTTCTTCGCTCTTTTCGTGGAGGGAAACGACTAATACGAGCTGAAAGAAAAGGCTGGGCCACTTTGGTTTCCATTTCGAGGGCCAGTAATAGAAACTTGATTTACATAAACTCACAGACCAGAGTCACTTTTGGTTGCACTAGGCAACGGGGCATTCACTTTCTGTTGTAACAAGACCGGTGTGGTCGTCGTCTGTTGACCGTTTCGTTTATGCATTTAACCCAGCAAGAGGGAGAGGTCCGGCGTTCAATTAAAAATTCATCAAGTGGGGCACCTGGGTGGCTCAGTGGGTTAAAGCCTCTGCCTTTGGCTCTGGTCATGATCCCAGGGTCCTGGGATCGAGCCCCGCATCGGGCTCTCTGCTCAGCGGGGAGCCTGCTTCCTCCTCTCTCTCTGCCTGCCTCTCTGCCTACTTGTGATCTCTGTCTGTCAAATAAATAAATAAACCCTCAAAAAAAAAAATTCATCAAGTGCGTCAGGGCACTGGAGGGTGGGACGGGACACTCAGTGCGATGAAGAGACAGGCCCACACTCACACCTGAAGCCCAGTCGAGCCGGGCTGGGTGGGAGGGTGGCCGCGCAGAGCCGCCTTCTGCTGCTAAGGGGAGAAGGAAGCCCCTTGGGTGAATGGGGGGACCTCAGGGCTGCCGCCTCCCTGGCCCAGAGGCCCTTCAGGATCGCCCCCGCCTCTCTCCAGACTTGTGTCTGTGATAACCAGAGGTTGGAGATTTGAGTCCCAACCCTAGAGATCCAATGTATTAGACCTAAGGTGGGCGGGTGTGGGTGTCTAGGGATTTGATTTTGAACAAGCAGCCCATGTGCTGAGGGTTGAATTGTGTCTTCCAAGAAAGATGTGTTCAAGCCGCATCCCCCAGGTCCCATGAATGGGCCATATTTGGAAACAAGGTCTTTCCAGATGCTGTCCAGGGATCCACAGTGGATGAGAGTGGCCCTAGTGAGAGGAGAGACAGAGACCCGCACACACAGGGAGAGGCCATGGGAAGAGGCAGGCAGAGGTTGGAGGGATGCTGTCCCCAGCCACGAACACCAAGGACTGCCAGGAGCCACCAGAAGACAGGAGAGAGGAGGCCTGGGTCAGCCCCTCCCTGCCGCACCACCGTCTTGGTCCTCTAACCTCCAGAACTAGGAGAGAGTGACTGGCTGTTGTTTTAAACCACCCGGTATGTGGTAATTCTTTATGGCAGCCCAGGAAGTTACAACAGCACCCCCTCCGAGGGGTTCTAGAACGTCGCTGAGAAACTACGCACAGGTTTTAGGATACACGGAGGACCGCAGGCCCGTCCGTCAAGGTCCCTCTGCTTGCTCTCGGGAGTCCGATCGAGCCTGAATCCCTGCTTCATCCACAGATCCCCCCTCTGACTAAGGACACTGTCCTGCGTTCACGGCAGCCCCAGGCCCCCAGGCCACCCTCCCTGCCTGTTCCCCACTTAGGAGGCTCTGCCCGTCCCCCTTCACCCCACCACCTCCCCTACCTTCCTGGCCTCCTCCCGCAGAGCCCTCTGGAATGTAGGCTCCGCTGGGACCCCGATACCTCACCAACGTCTACGGGAACCAGCCTCCCCTCCCAGGGCAGCGCCTACCCCGTGGTTGTCTTGGGTGGTGGGGTTCCCACAGCCTCCCCAGCACTGACCTGGGAGGACAGGGGTGGACATTCTCTTGGCATGTCTGGACTATTCTCCTGCCTTCCTTCCCAAACACCAGCCTGGAACCCCATGTCTTCGGACGTTTTGTACCCTTCTCCACTGGGTTAGTTGCCTAGAAACAGCCATCATTCCTTGAACATTCCTGCCCCAGGTTCCCACCACTCCCAGTCCGAAGTCCCCGGGGATTTCACACCCGACAGAGATCACCTTCCAGAGACCATCCTGGCTCTTCCATTCCTTAACTTCCCATCTCTTTGCCCCACTGCTCACTCCCGTGGGTGTTTAGCTGAGTAATATCTTATGGTCTGGCTGCACTTTATTTGGTCAATCCTTCGAGCTGCTCAGGCAAAAAACTTTGGGATCACCTTCTCCGGTTCCGTCTTTCTCATCCCATCCCATCCTCTCCCCACGCACTGCTGGCCTGACCTTCAGAATACATCTTGATCACTTCTCCTGGTGGCTCTGGCCATCACCGAATCTCTCCTCTGGATCCCGGGAACCGCCTGATGGCTCCCTGGGATTCCACCCCTGGTCCCCAGCCCTGTGCTCCCTCCCCATCTCCCCCGCTTGCTTCTCTCCAGGACTTACTGGGTTCCAGCACACAGTAGAAGGTGCTTCTAGTCACTACCCTCTGTCCTCTGCACCCTGCCCTGCCCCCGCTGGAATGTAAGCTACAGGAAGGGGGTGGGGGGGATCTTTGTTTTTTTCTGCACCTTGTGGACCCACCTTGGGGTCTAGAACAGTGCCTGGCACCAAGTAGGGTCTCCTACGGTCTCTGACTAATGAATGAATGATTTCCCAGCGGGCCTCTCCGGAGTGGAGTTAGCAAGGCTTGTTGGGCAAGAGTCTGAGCAGAAGTCAGGGGCCGAGGGGGGCCCACCAGCCCTGGCCAGGTACTTCCCGAAACGGGGACGCAAACGTCTGCCACCTCAACCGCTCTCTTTTTAGCAGAAACACCAGAACTGACGTGTTTGTTTTTAAAGCAAATGAGGAAATGATAATTCTGCTTGTGCCGCATTCAAGTGAGACCCACCCTTCAGGGGAAGAGAGACAGATGCCAGCTCTGCGACCCGGTGACCCGAGGGAGGTGATGGTGGAGACAAGTTGGGGAGGGACACCCCCCCCAGCCTGGTGAGAGGAGGAGGTGACCCACCACCCTGACCTTAAGGGTCACAGGACTGAAATCGGGTGGGTGGTGGAAGAGCTGGAAAAGGAGGGTGGGGGAGACCGGCACCAAGGCCGGACCAGGAGAGTCCCCTCCCCTTGGCTCTGTATCACCCCCTTGTGGAAGAGGGGCCCCTCGCCCTCTGGCTGCCTGGGACAGTAAGTCAGACTTCCTTTGCCAGACCTGGAGGGATGGGGGGGGGGAGCCCGGACTTCCTCAGCCTGAGCGCCCCGCCCTGGACGCCCCAGCCCTCACTGGGATCACACCCACCTAGCAGATCTGCTCCAGAGCGGACCTGTAGTAGAAGGACTGGGGTGCACCTGCCCAGGGACATGCCTTCTGCTCCCCTTCCTTCCCAGCTCCGTAGCCCAACCGGAAGCCAGCTCTTTCCTTGCCGCAAGTGCCCTGGAGGTCCCCCACTGGCCTGTTCACCCTGCTCCTCTCCACGCTCTCCAGGGCCCTGCAGGGGTTGAGGCCAAGTTCCAGAACTCTCCATCTGTCCACCACCAGACACCCGCTCACCGTCAGCAATCTCCACTAGCCACAACACCCACCACGGCACCCACCACGGCACCCAGCGTCTCCCTCAAGTGTGCGGGGCTACTCACCTACCTCTGGCTCCATGGAGAAGCTGCTGGTGGCTGGAAAAGGGGAGGGTGCGAAGGTAGTAAGCAGGGAGCCCGGGGTGGAAAGGAGACGCGACACCACCCAGAGAGCCTCCTGCCAAGGCCGGAAGGGAGGCCCAGGACTCCACAAGTGCCTTCGCTCCCAGAAGCTCTTTCAAGGGCACAACAGTCAGAATCATCAGCCATTTGGTGGCTAAGTAAACAGTGCATCCAGCTCAGGGACCCAGCCACCGGGCCACACTGTGCAGTAAGGGGCTGGTCTGAGACTCAAGCTCACAGCTTTCCCTCGCTGTCCTCATGCTCCTGGAAGCATCCATGCCTCCGGGTCCCTCTCCTGTGCTCCCTGGCATCCCTGCACCCTCAGCCTGCCTCCCCAAGGCCCTGGCAGTGGTCCCTCCTGCCCCTGATGGTGTCCCCATGAGCTCACCCAGCACGGCCCAGCACAGCAGCAGAAGGAGCCACATGCCGGGGTAAGAGCCCTGCTCGGGCTAGCAAGAGCTCTGTCAGCAGGGCCACCTCCACTCTGGGGCCCCCGGATGCTCCTGGGGTGGGTGCCTGCAACAGGCAGATAAGCCAGAGGCCACAGCCCCCCAACGCCTCAGCAGCCAGGGCTGGGCCCAGAATAGCTAGGCCCCCACACTCTCTGGGGGGATTGGGAGGCCCCTGGGCCTCGAAGCCAAACCAGGGGCTTACCCTCAGCCATCCCGACTGAACTGTAGAAGCCTGGCTTGTTTGCGGGGAAGATGTGCACCCCTAAGCCTTGGAATATGTATGTTACATGGAGAGCGGGTAGTAAGGTTGCTAATCTTCTGATTTGAGATGAAGTCCTTATTCTGGATTATCAGCTTGGGCCGGTTATCACGAAGGTCCTTCCCAAACTCCCCCAGGAGAGTCTGACATACACACAGGAGACCTGGGGGGCTGGGCCCTTTAGAGAGACAGGCAGGAGAGGCCCCCTCGGCCCATTTCACGCTGGTTCCTTAGTGACCACCTGGTGGGCACCTGCTGGGCAGCTGACACTGGGCTCAGCCCCCAAATTAAAGCTCAGACCGGATGGGCCCCTGGTCCCCCCAGGAGTGTGTTGCAGTGGGCCAGCTCAGAGCAGGGAGGGGTTTTACCTCCTGCCCATGGACGGCGGTCATTCCCCAGGATCTGGACCCAATGCTAGCGAGACCGGAAGGAGGCCAGACCACATCACGTGTGGTGGCGTGGCCTTTTTGACAGTCTGAAACAGAGCTCACTGGATTCAGGTAGAAGGAAGGGTGGGGTGAGCCAGGAAACCTCCGGGAACACTACGGCTGGACCAGGGCACGCCCCCTCGGGGCTGGGGGCTCAGGGCATCTTGGAGCTCAGAAAGAATGGAGGGAGCAGGTGAGGTGTGGGGGACCCAGCCAGCCCTGCAGCTGACCCCTGGCTCCTGCCTGCTCCAGGCAAGCTGGGCTCCTCCCAAGCCAAGCCCGGGGCTGCTAAACTAGTTCATTTAGTTTGTGCGGGAAACGCCCAACTGGGCGGCCTTCTTTGGGTAAGATGTCCCGCCCCTGGGGATCCATTTGCTTCCAGTAGGGGCTGTTCTCTCCTGCAGAACTCCCTGGGTGGACCACATGCCCAACCCCTGCACAGCCCAGCAGTGACCCAAGGAAGGCATGAACAGCCTTGCCCTTGGGTACCCTTGGCCCTCCTCAGGGAAAGGGTGGAGGCCCGAGAGGTCTGGGCATGGTGGGAAGTGGGTCGAGCAGTTGACCTGCTCGCATGGGGGCAGCGGCAGGGATGATGGGGAGGGGGTTGGGGGGGTAGCCGGAGCCTGGGGGCTGACGTCCTGAGAGCTCGGCTGGGGACTAGATTTGTCAGTTGCCGTGCTGGTCCCCTGTCTGCCCAGGAGGCAAGAATCAGCAACTGTCACTTGCCACCCAGAGTCCGGGTTCACAGCCTGGGGGTGCGCCCTAGGGCCACCTCCGTGCAGGTGGGGAGCGAGAGCATTGTCCCCAAATTCTCTCCATTCTTTCCCTTCCGGGAAGTCTGTCCTTGCTCTGCTGCAGTGGTCGGGGCAGGAACCGGAAGAACTGAGGTTGTAAGACAGAGGGATCGTCTAGGCTGCTCCCGGTTCGTCTCCAAAAACTTGTGTTTTTTCCCTTCATGTTGTGCCCAGGGCATGGGGTTTGAGCTCAGGTGGCCGCTGAGGAGCCTCCTCCTTCCATCAGTGTACTTGGGGAGCAGGGCAGAGGAGAGCGTGGTGGGCGGACTCGAGACATTTCTTGCAGGTTTGGATCGACCGGGTGTTGCCCTGCCCCAGCGACAGCCTGTGTGTCAGCCTGGAGTGTTTGCGGAGGGGGCTGGTCCTCTGGGCTATTCTGCTCCTTCCCTCCACAGGCGGCACGAGGAGGAGAGGACTCACGAGGGTCCAGGTCACCCGGATTGTATGGAGTCCGGCCATAATAAAGCCTCATGACTCAAGGCACATGTCAGGATACTTGACGTGTAATTGCTCATTTAATCCTCGCAGCCGCTCAGAAGAGGGTGGTGTCAGCCTCATGTTTCCGCAGAGCAAACAGGCCCAGAGTTTGGTTTCCTCAAGCTTGTCCTCTCCTGGTGTTGCACTTGGCTGATTCTCCGTGAATGTCTGCTGCGCTGGGCCTTACCCCTAAAGTTTCTGTGTCAGGAGGTCGGGGCGGGGGAGGGGGACGGTGCCCTGAGAATCTGCATTTCTGCCAAGTTCCCAGCTCCTGCTACTGCTGCAGGCGGGGGCCACACACTGGCCCTAAGCCACTTGCTATAAGTATGGGCCACCTTCATGCGGGACAGGCCGGTGGCCCTCGGCCAGCTGAGCCCACCACACTGTTTCCCTGGAACCAGGCCTGGCAGTTGCTGACAGGGTCATGTGACACCGGGTGAGGGAGAGAGAACAGCCGTGGGAGAGGCCCGGCCGGCCAAGCCTTCAAGGCCCACGTGAAGGCCCGGGCCTGAGGGCACGAGGCCAGAGTGCCCAGGCTGGGAATCCCGCCAGGCGCCAGGCCCCTGGTGGAAACAGAGGCTTGGAGAGCATGTCATGGGGCTTCTCTTGAGCCTCCCTCCCAACAGTTCTTCAGGCCAGCGTTCTCAGCCCTGGCCGCCGGGGAGAGTCACCTGGCAGCTTTCGCGAGTCCCGGTGCTTGGCTGCTGGCCGCACCTGGGCTGAGCACGTCGGCAGCCTCGGCACAGGGCCAGTCCTCTAAGGCTTCGAACCACGGACTGAGAACCGCAGCAGAGGCAGGGGCTTCTGGGTGCCTGAGGAGGCCCACTTTGCTGATGTGGGGTCCTGGGTTAGAGCAGATGGTGAGGAATCCTGCCAGGGAGAGGCTGGCCCTGGACCCTCCGGTCTGCAGACTCAGGGAGGCCCCCAGGGTCAGGGTTAGGGTCAGGGTCAGGGGCGTTCCTGGCATACCGTGGGCATGCTGGAGCCGAGTTCCGGAGTCCGCTCTGCTGCTGGTTGACACAAGCACTGCTTGTGGGGCTCAGGGGTCTCACAGGTGGAGAAGGAGCCCCAGGAGGCTCTGGGGGCCCATGCGCTCAGAACACAGCAGATCCATGGCGCAGGTCTGCTCGACTGTGGCCAGGCCTTACCCTTCCCGGACACGTTTAAGTGGTGCTCCCCACAGTGGGGGCACTTCTGAGCACCCCCATAAATGTGTATCTGTAAGTTGCATTCAGGGGTTATTCTGCTGTATGAATATGTAATATATTATGTACATTATAAAATTGAAACTTTACAGGACTGAGGTAAAAATATAAATACAATTTCCCATATTCTCTTTCTGCTGCCCCTGGGCTCTCCGGCGTCCTGCTGGAGGACCCGCTGAGAGCATCAGTCACCAGGGGGCAGGAGCCTGGGGCCAGGGACAGTTTGGCTGCAGGGAGGTAGGCCAGGCCCTGGGGAGGCTCGGGGAGGAGGAAGGGGTGGGTGCTACAGCTCCGAGCCGCTGGGGAAGCGGAATCTAGGGGCGGCGACAGGGCCACCGCCTGGCCTGGCTGGATCCTCGAGGCAAGGTCCTGGCCTAGGGGCCCTGGGGCCTGGGGAGCCGGGGCACGGGAATCCAGGACAGAAAGACCGCGGGCGGGAAGCTCGGGAGGGAGGGGCTTCGGGCCCCACAGAGCTGCCGGAGCCCGTCTCGGGCAGCAGTCGCGACAGGTCCTCCACCAGGTGCCACTTCTCCTGGACTTGCTGTGCGGAGGGGGTGGGGAGCGAGCGGGCGGTTACGAGCGGCGCCTCCTCCGAGGGGCCGGCCGGGAACAAACAGCCCGCCCGGCCGCAGCGGCTCCGCGGTCCGCGGTCCCGGGTCCCCTGCCAGGCCCCCGTCCGAGGCCCCGCCCCTAGCTCCGCCCAGCACAAACCCCGCCCCATGGGCCCCGCCTCCACGCCGAGACCACGCCCCACCACGGTTCCGCCTCCAGTCTGCCCTCAGGTCCCGCCCCAGTCAAGCCAGAGACCACGCCCCTCCCCCGAGGAGGCCCCGCCCCGCCAGGGTCCCGCCCCCGTCCGGTCCGAGACCACGCCCCTACCAGGGTTCTGTCCCCGCCCGCCACCTAGAGCCCGAGTTAAAATGTCAGCTGTGGGGCGCCTGGGTGGCTCAGTGGGTTAAGCCTCTGCCTTCGGCTCAGGTCATGATCTCAGGGTCCTGGGATCGAGTCCCGCATCGGGCTCTCTGCTCAAGCAGGGAGCCTGCTTCCCTCTCTCTCTCTGCCTGCCTCTCTGTCTACTTGTGATCTCTGTCTGTCAAATAAATAAATAAAATCTTTAAAAAAAAAAAAATGTCAGCTGTGCAGTTAGTAGACGCCAGGTGATGCTACTGCTGTAGCAAGCTATCAACCGTGTTCCTGTCAGGTGGCTGCCAGCCCGAGGCCACACTCCGGGGCGAAGTCTGGCCCCTCCCCAGCCCAGCGGACACTCACCCACACCAGCTGCTTGCGGAGCCCCTGGATGGCCCTGGCATTGGCCTGGGACTGGGAAACGCAGACGGTCAGGACAAGGCTTTGGACAGATGGAGATCCAAGGTCAGTGGCCCCTCCCCCACCTTTCTCTCTCCCCACCTCAGTTTCTCAAAAACACCTCCCTGGTTCTTTTCCCCGCAGACCCCTGTATCTGTCCCTTCCTTCCTCCCGCGGGCAGCCCCTCTCCGCTCCGGGCAGGTTTTCAGCGCGTCTGCAGGAGGCACTGTGTTTCCCCCATCACATGGGTACTTGCTTTACAGGTGACATCCCAAGGCGATGTCCAGGCCTACCTGCCTCTGGGCCCACGCTCCACCCCCTGAGACCCTGCCTCCCTGCCTGTCCTTATCTGGCTCCTGTGAGGTCCCATGAGACTGCCTGGGGGGTGCCCATCGAGGGAAGGCCCTCCTCCCAGGTGTGCCCTCCCTCGGCCCCTGCTGCCCTGAGAGGCACCTGAGTAGGATGAGGCAGGGGAAGCTGAAGGCGTGGGAGCCGAGGTAGTGGAGGGCACGCTGGGCAGGGGGGCGGCAGCCGGAGGGCCACCAGCTGCGGGACCACCTGCCAGGGGGCCGAGTAGTTGGCGAAGAGGCCACAGTCCCAGGAGGAGTGGATGCTGGGGAGAGAGAGCCAGGGCAGGGCTGGCAGCAGGGCCGCCGGGCAGGAGCTCCCTGCCCACCAGCCGCAGGCGCCTCTGCTGCTCTCACCTGCTGACCACATAGCCCAGGGGCACGACGGCCAGGAGCAGGCCCAGGAGGAGCACCAGCTGGAAGAAGAAGGTGGAGCTGGAGGCGCGGAACCGCCGTGGAGAGGCCCTGGAGTTCCTCATGAGGGTGTACTGGGGGGCAAGCAACGGGAAATGGGGGTCCTTAGCCAGTCGCAGATGCCAAGGAGCCCGAGGCCCGGGGAAGGGATGCCGAGGGGCCGGGCGGGAGCGGGACCTGAGCCCCGCCCTGCTGACCGGGGCTCCACGCCCCCTCCCCAGCCGGTGTCGCTCACCTTCTTGATGTAGAAGGTGAGGAAGATGAAGACGCTGTTGAGCAGGGGCAGCAGGGGGCAGTAAAAGAGACCCATCCAGGTGATCGTCTGCCCCGCCACGATGTCCAGGACATTCTTGGGCACCAGGAATTCTTCCCGGTCCAGCCAGGTCCAGAACCGGCCCGAGAACCGCTCCACCAGCAGCCTGGGGGGGGGAGCGTCCCGGCACCCACATCAGTCACAACCAGGCACCGACCACGCCCCACTGGCTTACACGGAGACCCATGGGAAGAACTGCTCACCCTTGGCCACAGCCAGCGGCCACCCCCAGACAAGCCCCGTCCCCCCCACCGTGGGGGTCCCCAGGCCTCACCTCCTCGGCAGGCTGACGAAGAAGGCAAAGGCCACCATGAGGAGGAAGTTGAAGATACTCAGCTTGTAAAACTCTTCCCCGACCGCATTCTCCCAGCACTGGAGCGGAGGGGGACCTGTCATCCCTGGCCCCCAGCCGCCCCTCCCCCACCCCCGGGGGGCCCCTGTGGTGGTGGAGCGGGGCCCGGAGTCTGACATGGTTACTGAGTTAGAACCCTGGCCTCGGGGGTTGGATCCGAGCAGGGAAACCCCACAGCGAGCGCGTGGTGTGCTGTGCACGGTGCCCCCGGAGGTGGGCTGCCCACGCGCAAAGGGGACCCTGGAGAGGGACGGGAGGGACAGGCTTGGATGGAGCCACCAGCCACCTGGTAATCACAGGCGTTGTAGCCGTAGGACACACAGCTGGTCTTGTTTCTGCCGAGGCACAGCACGGTCTGGCCCAGAGAGAAGGAGAACATTCCCAGGCTGGCCAGCTTCAGCGCCACACACCTGGGGGCAGGATGGGGTCGGGGGAGGGGTCAGGCGCACGGACACATTCCACCCCGGGTCTGCATGTGGCCCGTCTCTATTTGGGATCACGTCTCTTCCGGGTCCAGCTCCCTCTAAATCCAGAGCTCAGCCTCCTTTCCACCTGCTCTGTCCGTGGCCATCTTTCCCAGAGGGTGTTCCCCAGAATCCTGGTCTCCAGATGATTCACGAGAGAAGGGTTCTGTTTTGAAATCACTTTGGGAAACACTGCGGAGTCCAGCTGCCCTCTCCCACCCACACTCAGTCTGGAGTTTTGCTGGCATGTATGAGCCTTCAAGCAGAGCATCCTTCGAGCAGAGGCGAGCTTTCTTCCGTGCCTGTTAACGCGCTAGCGCACTCACACCGTCTCACGCATCACACTCGAGCCTCACGCCCCCGGACACTGCCACACGGGACCACACGGGCGGGATGGCTAGACCCCAACTATCACATGCCCTTTATATCTAGGGGAGGACTTTCAGAGCCGACAGGCGACCACAGTCTGCTCGGGAACAGTGGGTCTTCTGTTGAGGGAGCCTGGGAAGCAGGGAAGGTGGGGGCTGATTTTTTGGAGCATTTGGAGCATTTTGAACTTTTTACCACGTGCATGTGCTACCATCTACTCCAAAGATAAAGCTTCAAACCACAGTCCACCTTGCAGGAAAGGTGAGTGGGCTCGGACAGCTTCTGCTCCCGGGAAGCAGAAGGCAAAGCAGACAGAGCCAAGTGGGGGGGGGCGGGGTGGCAGACAGAAAAGCAGAACTGGGGTTCGTGGAGGGAGGGGTGGCTCCAGGAAGGGATTCCAGTCCAAGGCAGGATCCTGGTCCTGAGTGGGGGGACAGAGAACGGGGCTGGAGGAGGGCTTGTACCAAACTTGCACCCAGCAGGCATGGCGGGCTTGCCTTCGGCTGAGGTACTTGACTGCGTGAGCCTCAGTTTCCTCATCTGTCAAATGGGGTGGAGGATGGTCCCCACGTCACAGGTCATGTGAAGGCTGTCACGGGGTGACATCCCATGTTCCCGATTTCCCTGTGTGTGGAGCTGGCTCCTGACCCCCTCTGGCTGTTCTGTCACTGGCCTCTCTGAATGGCTGGTGTGTGGTGCGGGCTGCTGGCTGGCTCTGGGTGGAAGGCACTGGAAAACCTTAGACGGAGGCTCCCGAGATGGTGTTTTCTGGAAGTTCCTGCAAGCCCTCGCTTGCTCGGGTGCCCCAGCTTCGGACAATAACCCAGATGGACAGCGGGACACAGAGTACTCCGTACCTGACCTTCCACACAGCTGTCCCACCCATCACCCCCAAGGGTGGCACTCACCAGATGAGGGCGAGGTTGACCTCCGTGTTGGGAGGGTAGTTCTCCAGCTGGATGAGGGAGACGAAGAGCAGGGGCCCCAGAAAGTTGACCAGGGCGATGACCCCAGGGGGCAGGTACTGGAGCACCACAAACAGGGACTCCTGCAGGGGAAAGCAGGCAAGGGGGTGTGCCCAGGGACCGGAGGGTCCCCAGCAGCACCCCCACACCCTACAGCCCCCTCAAGTGTCCTCCTGGTGCAGGCCTGGCATCAGGAAGCCCACAGACTGTTCCCAGCGACAGCATGGCGGCTGGGGGTACCACGGGTGCAGGCGGTCTGGCCCATCTGGACCTTAGGCATAGTGTGTCTACCTCTCTGAGCCTCAGCTTGCTCATCTGCCAAGTGGGACCACCCTGTCTCCCCCCAAAGTTCTGGCCAGGGTTAAACGAACGCATGTCCGTGGCCTGGCACCTCTTTGTTGTCCTGTGAGTACTTGGTGGCCCAGAAGATGGCACTGATGGCCCCAACCACCAGGAGCCCGATGAGGACATTGACCCGCAGGTGGGTGAGCAGGTGGCAGGCCTTCTGGGCCCGGGTCTCCTGTTGCACCAGCAGGAACCGACGCCTCTCCTCCAGCTCCACCTGTCATGGGGGTGGGGACACAGATGGTCGGGTCTCTCCCTGGCCAGCAGGGTGCTGCGTGGAGTGGGGAGGCCATCAGCTCCAGGTTGGTGTTCGTGGGGAGACGGGCTGCCAGGATCCAGGTGAGGCTGGTGTGACCCTGGGGCAGGTGCAGGTGAGGGGCGGAGGCCGGTGTTATGTAGACCACTGCCCCTTGCACGGGGCGGGTGAGCTCATGCCCAAACACTGGCACGGCCCCACCTCCAGCTGGAACACGCACGTGTGCGCACACTCCCAAATCACACCCACTCACGCGCAAAGTCACACACGCTCATGTGCTCGTGCACACACCCACGTCCCCACCCCAGACCCTTGCACACACCTTGAACTCGTTGCTGATCTCATGCTTCTTGATGGTGGCCGCTTCCTGTCCCCGGGTACAGAAGTCCCAGGAGGAGAACACTTTGACACTGACAGGCGACTTGTAGTCTTGGCCGAGGAACAGCCTCTGGGGCAGCCCCTTCACCATCCTGGAGGGAGCAGGAGGCGAGGGCCCATGGGGGAGGGACCCAGGTCTGGGGCGGGAAGCCCCGGACAGCCCCGGGTGCGGCCTAGGGTCAGGGGTGGGGATATGGGGCCAGTGTCCCTGAGCTCTGCCCCTGGGGACACAATCAGGGCCGTGAAACCACCGATGAGCCTGCCCGAATGAGGCTGGGGCCCTCCTGCCAAGCCAAGGGAGGGGTGATCAGGGAAAGAGCCAGAAGCAGGCAGGGGCTCTGCTCTCACCGCTGCAGAATCCCGCAGAAGCAGAGCAGCAGGCAGGCCAGCGGGCTCAGGAGGTAGGCGAGGCGGATGCTGTAGGCCGAGCTGCTCTCAGGCCCCGCCCGGTAGGCGCCATAGAAGAGATAGCTGTCGGCAAAGGCCTGGGGGTGTGGACGGTGACAACCGGGTCATGCGGGCTGTGTGCTAAGTGCTTCCCGGGTCTTGGCTCTCTAACTGTCACAGACTCCTCGGCAGGGAGGGAGGGAGAGCATCCCCACCACGTCACAGTCCTAGAGCGAGGGCGCACAGCTTTGAGGAAGAGAGAGGACTGGAATACAGGAGTCTGCTCGGTGACCTCTCTGTGGCACCCAGGGACGATAAGCACCCAGGTGCTTATCTTTGTTGTCCTGGGAGTACCCGGATACTCTTTCCTTCCGTCCTTTACACCGCCCCCCCACCCCAGGTGGGTACCGAGGACCATGGCCTTGGGCTGTGCATACCGGCCTCAGCCTCTCTGTGACCCCATCACTGTCCCCGCCAGCCTGTGTATGTAAAACCGTCCCCCTAGAAACCAATGTCTTTGAAGGGATGGGGGTCCTCTTAGACGGTGGTCCCTTGGGGCCAGTTCTCCGGGTCCCCCAGCCCTCCTGATGCATCGCCAAGACGGAGCTCACTTACCCTGCCAGTCAAAACGTTCCAAAGTCGATTGTGGAATCTGGGAACACCAGTCTGGGGCTGGAGGCCACCAGGGCACTCCAGGGCTGTCGGGAGGGAGAGGGGAGCAGTAGGGAAGGGTCCCCAAGGCAAAGGTGAGGCTCTGCCCCCATCTCCTCCATTGCAACCCCCATCCTGGGGAGGCCTCACCAGGACCCGAGGAGGATGCCACACAAGGAACGGTCAGGGAGAGTCCCAGGGCTGGCCTCTAGCAGGACGATGCTGTCCCAGCACTCTGAGCCCTGGACCAGCCCCTCAGGGTCCCTAGGGTGCAGGAGGGCCTCCAGGACCTCATTGTGGGGGGGGAGGCTGGGCACTCACTGAAGTTAAGGGAGGGGCCCGCGTCCGGGGGGCGGAGCCAGACCAGGGGCAGCAGGACGAAGCTGGCAGTGAGCAGCAGGGTCAGAAGGTTGAGCAGCAGCAGGAAGCGCAGGAAGGTGAAGTAGGACTGGATTCCGGTGCCAAAGAGGCCTGTGAGGAGGGCAGCAAGGCCTTCAGAACCGCACCAGGCCAGGCGCCCGCTGAGAACCCAAGGGCTGACCAAGCCGGCAGGGTGCTGGTGACCAGGGTGAGGGCGACCGGCCCTGCCGGACGGCGGATCAGTGGCCAGCAGTACCTCCGACAGCCACCTGGGGGTGCTGTCACCCGCCTAGTTCTGCGCCTCGGTGGGGGGCGGGAGGGGTGTGAAAGGATGGGGGGCCCTTGTTCCGCGGTGGGCGGGGTTGTTTAGTGAGGGCGGAAGGGGCAATGGCAAGCGGGACGGTGGCCTCGGGTTTCTAAACCAGACCTCGAGCCTCCAGAGAAGGGAGGTGGGAGGTGGGAAGTGGGGGTGGGGGTGCGGGTCCTACCCCCGATCTCGTAGAGAGCCCCTTCCCAGAGCCCAAAGCCCTGGGCCAGCCGCTGTGCTGCCTCCCCTAGGCGCCGCCGGACAGTCCGCCACCTGCGCTGACATCGCTGCCAGCAAGAGGTCTTCACCCCCTTGGGCTCCCGCAGCTGCCTGGGTTGGGGTGGTGATGGGGCGTCCTTGAGTCACCCGCTGTGCCCACCGGGCCAGGCAGAGCAATGCCAGGGGCCAGAGGCGTCTTCCCACGGCTGGTGACTTCCACCCCATCCCACCCGTGCGTCCTCTGGGGGGTACCCCACCCACCCGCACCCTCTGGCCTCCAGCGGGTCCTGCCCAAGGCGGGGGGGTGGGGGGGAGGCACCCACCGAATGAAGCGCTTGTCCACCATGGCGTAGGGCAGCTCCCGCACCTGAGCCTGGGAGGACCACAGCCGCTCCATCTCCTGCTCCCACAGCTCCTCGACCCCTGGCTCGGGTTCGGGCTCCACGAGGGCCTGGCCGGACAGCACTGACCACTGCCTCAGCATCTCTGCGTGGGGTTGAGGTTGGAGGCGCCGGGCTGCAATCCCCCCTCTTAGAAGGGACGTGGGCCGCCTGCTGGGTAAGCTTCAAGCTCTTGGCCCTGGCGCAGCCAGAGATGAAGGAAAGAACCCCGTTGGAGCAGCTCTGGGCTGGGTCCCCAGGCACATCTCAAAGCAACCCCTCGCCAGAGGCCTCAGTTTTCCTGTTTGTCGGTGGGCAGAAAGGTCCAAAGGTAACGGGACGGTGGGATTGTCCCAGACAAACACAAAGCCGGGTGTGGCCACAGAGAAATGCCACGGGGTCCGAGGCCTACTGCAGCCAGGTCACACCTGCGGCCTGTGGCCACAGGCCTTTGGGGTCACCCTTTGGCAAGACATCTGGCTTTTCTCCCCATAGTAATTCTCCCAGTGGGAACAGGCCCCTGTCCCACAGTTCCTAGAATCCAGTGTCCTGCGGGGTTCGGATGTACTGGGACCCTCCCCCTTATGTCTGCTACCTGGGGTCCAGCCCCCAGGATTGGGTCTGCCCGCCCCTCAGGGACCCCAGATGAGTTGTGGCTACAGCCCCAGACTCGGGAAGGGGACCCCACCCCTCAGCAGTCCCAGCACCTGATTCTCTCTGGACTTCAGCCCCTCGAGCTGTCTCCTCCCGCCACTCTGTACCAGCTCACCTGGGAACAAGGGACCAAGTCCCCGGAGGAGCCCCCTTGTTGGACTGGCTCCCTCCACGCTAGGCGGGACTGTGAGGGAACCGGGGGAGGGGTCACATGACAGGAACCCCAGCTCTCCCGCCATCTCCTCCCCCCTCCACTTCTCGCACCCCCCCCCCCCCAGTTTCCTTTGCTTTCTCTGGGGCCGACACTTCCTGTGTCATGCGGGGGCAGGCAGGAGGGGTGGGGGGAAGGGCGGGGCATGGAGGGGCAGCCTCCAGGCCTGTGGGGTCAGGGTTGGCAAGGGGGTGGGGTGGTGTCACACTGTCCCTCCCTGCCACTCCAGCGTGCTCCCCCCACCTACCGGTCCCTTTGTGCCTGGGGAGCTGAAGCCAGAGGTGGGGGGAGGGGCACTTATCTACCGGTGGCAGGTTGTCCTCGTGAGAGTGAGCTGATAGTGACAGAATGGGTGGACCCCATCACTTGGGGCTGCTTCAGAAGCCCTTGGCGTTAATCCTCAACATCCCGCCTTGGTCACTGGCACTTATCACTTAGAGCCTGGCCTCTTGTAAGGGCTCAGGAATTGGTGCCACTCGTTCCAGCTAGGCAAGCCATCTTGGCCATTTCTCTCTCCTGGAGGTCCCCTGGGACCCTGCGGTCTTGCCTTTCCTCCTTGCTCCCTCTCCACCTCCTTCAGGGCCCCGTGCATCCAGCTCAGCTCTGATGGCTTCTCTGCATCCCTGCCTGGATCCCCTCGTTTTCCAAGCCCCTCCTCTATGACAGCCTCCAAGCTGGGTGCTGGTGCCCAGTGCACAGTGGGTTCAGAGAGTGGGGGCAGGGTGAACAGACAAGCAAAAAGAACATGTCAACAGGAAATGGCAAGTGCTCCAACAGGGTTCAATCCAGGAAGGCTTCCCCTGGGAGGTGACCTGCAAGTTGGGCCGGGGTCACGCAAGTACCATGTGGCTGGAGCATGGGTGTGCACGGAGAGGGGCAGTGGGAGGAGAGGCAAGGGTTCAGCCCGCCTGGTCTTCATACGGCAGTGCCTTGTGCCAAGATCCAGCCCAAAGTAACCCGTCTGAGCCCCAACTTTGTCCAACTTCAGGTCTGGGGACCCCTTGCATTATATCTTGTCCTTTGGGAATCCTGCTTTGCCCACCTGTTCTCCCCTCCAAGAGGGCCCTCTCCTTCCTTTTACCTTCCACCCTGCCTGCCTCTCAAGGCTTCCCTCCACCCCACCCACTGTCTAAATCCCGTCCATTCTCACTCCAGTCCCTGGGAGCCTCCCCTCTGACCTGCCCGGCTTTCTCAAAGTCAGGGTTCTCAGTGCAGGTGGAGGTGGAGCTCCCTGGCAGAGGACACCCCTGGGGGCTGATGAACGTGGTCGCCGCCTGTTGGCTCATCTGTGAAGCAGGGAGTGGGTATCCAGCCCCCGGCTTATGGGAATCACGAAGAAGACAGCAGAGGGGACAGTCACAGTGTCAGGCTTCCCTGGGGCTTGCCCCCTTCTCCCCACCTAGCACCCAGGAAGTGCGCCCCAACTCTGGTCCCGAGTAGCGGCAGAAACCACGCCCCGACCAGAGAGGGGTGAAAGGCCGGGTGCTGCAGCCGGCTGGGGACAGTCGTTGGTCAGCAGGGGGTGGTGTGGAGGAAGGGGTTACCCAATCCGGTGTCGCAAGGCGCCGATCGCCGGGGCTCCGCAGCCGCGGGCTCCTTTGATCACTGCCCTGGGAAAAGGGCGGCTGGAGAAGTGTTGTCCCCACTTGAAACCTGGGGAAACTGAGTCCCGCTGACACTGTGGACTCAGACCCGGACGCTCGGCCGCCCGCACCCTGCTCAGACCTCGGTGTGAGGCGGAGCCGGGGTCGGCAGTCGGCCGGGAGGGGGCGGGGGGGGAGGGCAAGGTCGCGCGAGGGCGGGGGGGGGGGGGCGCGCCGGGTCACGTGACGCCGAAAGCCAGCCACCACGTGGGCCGGGGCTGGGCGGCGCAGCTCCCTCGGCCCCGCCGGTCCCGCGAGGGTCCCAGGTCGCCCCCGGGACCCCCTTCCCGGTCACTCCCTCCGCCCTGACCCCGCGGCCCCGCCCCCAGGTGGTGCAGCCGGACCTCGGTTCCGGGGACAGGTGAGCGGCTCGCGAGCGCGCAGGGCCCGTCCTCCCCCGCGCCCCCCGGGTGAGCGGCGGGGATCGGGGTGCTGGTCCGGGGGAGGCCGCGGGGCCGCGGGCTTGGGGGCGGCGCCCGGGTCCTCCCGGCCCAGCCACTTCCCCTGCGGCGGCCGCGGCACCCGCTCCCCACTCCTTGGGGCCCCCGGGCGGAGAGTTCCCGCGCGGGTGGCCTGACGCCTCCCGCTCTCGGGACGGGCGCGCCGCCCAGGCAGCCCCCGAGCCCGCCCCAGCCGGCCGCCCCAGCCGGGAGGGCAGCGGCGATGCCCCCGGGCCGGGCCGGGTCGCGCTGCCGAGGGCGGGGGAGCGGGAGGCTGGCGGGGAGAGGGGTCGAGGGGCGCCCGGACTTGGGGCCGCCCCTGCGTCCCGCGGCTGGGCTGCGGCTCTCCCCCGCAGCTGCTGCTCCCTGAGGACCCGCTGCCGGCCGGGTCGGGGTTCCCGGAGACGCGCCCCACCCTGCCCCTCCCCACCTGGCTCAGGGCTCAGGAATGCTGTGCCCCGGAAACGCGGCCCGACCTGCCCTGCCTGGGGGCCTGGGGTACGGTGCCCAGCCGCTGGGTGTCAGCGGGGCAGAAGTCCTAGGCAGTGCCTGGGTGAGCCCAGGTGAGCCCCCTTGAGCCGAGCCCAACTTTTCTGAGAGCTGCGTTTGCGGCGGAGGAAGGGGAGGCGGGGGAGGAGGGCCTAGGGCTGGGCAGACGCAGGGCTGGGCCCCGGGCTGCTTGCTCCCACAGGGTGAAGCGCCCAGACAAGGACACCCTGGTTCCAGTTGTCCCGGGCGATGACAGAGCCCTCTGCCAGGACAAAGGCTGGACAAAGGCGGCCTGTTTAATGCCCGGCCTCCCTTCCCCCGCAGCCAGCTGCCCCGCTGGCCCCAGGGTGATGGAATGTAGGGGAGTTGGTCTCCTGAGAACTGGTGATGTTGCAGTGGCCCGGCCCAGCCCAGTGTGGAGGGCAGTGGTCCCTGTTTTGGGGGGTGAGGGTGGGTAGCGATGGGTGGGAGTCCGGCTGGAGGAGGCCCCTGGAGCTGGTGGGAGGTGGGGAGGGCTGGCCGTGGGAGGGGCTTCCTGTGAGAGGAAGTGCTCTGGGGTTTCAGGGCGGGCCTGGGAAGGCCTGGGAGCTGCCCTGACCTTTTTCCCCAAGAGGGCGGTGGACACCTGGGGCGGAGCCTGAGGAAAGGAGGGCTGTGTCCACAGGCACCCACCCCCTTCCCCCTTCCCAGGGACTGGCGCCATAGAGGAAGCCGATGGGGACTGCTCAGAACCCCCCCTTCCTTCCGCTGTCCCTCAGGCAGTGGAAGGGACTCCCCCTCGGTCCATCTGGCATGTGGTTTATTGGGGGTCACTAACCTGATCACGTGTTTGGCTGTGGGGGGGGGGGGTCAGGCAGCAGCTCCGGAGGCCTAGGCTGTGGGCATCCCCCACGGTCCCCAGGGAGTGGGTGGTTTGGCACCAAGCACTGGAAGCCAACCTCGGTGCACCACTCCCTGTCTCCTCAGATGGGCAGCGGGAGGCCTTGGAGGCTGTGCCCAGGCTCTGAGCTGCCCTAGGGTGGCAGACAGGCTGGCCGTGGGTCCTAGACATGGCCCAGCCACTGAACTTTGTCCTCAGTGTTCCCGAGACCCCAGAGGACCACGGGTAAGTGCGCTGGGGCTGGGGGGTGGCGGGCTGGAGGGCAGAGGTGCCCCCTGCACCCTGGGAGAGGCCACCAGGAGCAGGGCCTGTGGAGGAGGTGGCTGCTGGGGTAGGGCTGGGTCAGCCGAGTCCTGACGCCCGGCCCACCTCCCATCTCGGCAGCCAGGAGCCCAGCCCCTACGATGAGAGCGACGTGCACGACTCCTTCCACCAGCTCATTCAGGAGCAGAGCCGGTGGGTGGCTGAGGAGGGGCTGGAGCTGCAGGAGCGGCAGCTGGGGGCCGGAGCCCCCCAGACCACAGGTGAGCCCACCCCGCCTGGCCGGTGCGCAGGCGCTGCGGGTGGGGCTCTGAGCCTTCCCAGCCTCTCCCAGCTGCGGGCCTGGGCTGGGGATTGGCTGGGGAGACCGCCGGCCGCTGCGTCTCCAGGACCTCCGGATCAGTCTTTGTGGTTTGCAGGCAGTGGCCGCCCTGTCCCACCGGGGCCGGAGGATGCCGGCGCGCACAGCACAGCCACGCTCCGCATCTTGGCCAGCATGCCCAGTCGCACTATTGGTGAGTGGGCCTCTCTCCCCTGGCCCGGGCGGTCGGACTTTCAGCGGGATCTGTGTTTCGTGGAGCTGGGCCCTTCGCCCTGCACCCTGCCGTCCACTGCCCGGAGGCCCAGCGCAGCCCCAGCGCAGCCCCAGCACAGCCCCGTGCGGCCTCGCTGGGTTCCAGAAACGACTCCAGAGTC